GAACGATAGAAAAAAATCGAGGCTGGAATTTCAAATCGTCAATTAAACTCTCAGTTACTTGAATAATGTATAGACGTGGCCAGTTGATAATAAAAATCTTCCCTTGTTAAACGTTCTTCCGACGTTATTTTCATTAATTTAGCTCGCCTGGCTTTGAAGATAAAAAGGAGAAAAAGGAAAAAGAGAAGGGAAGCGTAGCAAACGGGGGGGGGGGGGACAATAATCTGTTGAAACTTCTTGCGTTTTACATTTGACGATTAAACACGTTCACGGTGCTGAAAAGGATTTAAAATTTTTCTAAATTATTCTCCTTCGATGTTGATCGTTTTTAGCCACTTTTTAATTAGTTAAGTTGTGTAAGTTTAGTTAGACTGTGTGAATGCTTGTGTGAAAAATCACATAATTTAATGGATATTCTCAACCTGGTTCGATGATAACATCGAGCATTTCCTGTTTCCATTTCGAAGGAAAACCGGTTTCGCTAATTAAATAAATTACCTACTTGCTTTTTCAATTAAAGATGAATGATGGACAGGTAGGTTGTCTACGATACCGGTAATTGTAATTACAAATTACATAAAGCAATGTATATTTTATAATTGAATATAGATCTAATTTATCTACGGAATATTGCAACAAGTGTTACAATGTGTATTCTTTAAATACTGTAAGCTTTGATATGTTGAAAGAATGATTAATTCAATAAGACATGGAGTGAACACGTACATCGATGTTCGAATATTAATAAAAATCACTGTACATGAAATTTAGAACAGAAGGAGCTGTTATTTTATTACCTATATTATATTAGTTTCAATAACCGAGTTTTTCAAATATATACATACATACATATATTTTAATGGTTTATAATGGTTTACAATAAAACGATAAAAAAAATATATGACAAAAAGACAAGACGTTTCAAAAGTGCACGCCTCAATCAAATCACTCAAGTTCTTCTTAAAATGAAATAATCGCGAAGAAAAAAATTTTAAAGATTATTTAACTACACATACGCGAGCACGTATTCACGATTGAAAAGACTGATTGTCAATTTCTCTTGACATTATACCATACACGTGAACATTGTACATCGTACCTATACTATGAGCGCAAAAGATCAACAAACTTGCTAAAGGAAATATGCAACAAATTAGTGGAAATTTTTTTTATTCACATCTCATTTTCTGTGAGTGTTCCAATATTTGTAGCGTGAATACCCAACAATCGCTAATATTACCCTTGACTTGAAACTATACCTCGTCACGAAACTGCAAATACTTTTGGTCGAGTTTGTATTTTCGTTAATCTAATTGAGAAAGGAACGACGTGTAACTTAAACCAACCTTATTTGTTTCAGTCATTACTCGGAATATTTCATAAGTATCTGCGTGTTGCATGTGTTCCTTAGACATATCCTTCCAAACATTTATCACCTCGTGATAACATAAAATAGTAAGACCAAAAGAAGAAATATCAAATTTCTACGTTTGCTATTCCCGTGTCACTTTCATTTCTTACGTTTCACGCGCTGTGCGTCGCGAAACGTAGAACAACGAGCAAAACATGGGAAGAGAAAAAGTGAGCGTGCATTTACTTAGAATCATAACAGTGTACAACACATAGCTAATGGAAATTCGATCAACAGACGAACGGTGTCGGCTGCGGTGTCTATTCGCTCTAAGTGCACAGGGTCTCTGATTGCGCAACATTGAAGCGTGGGTGGCATTCGAAGCGTCTGGAAAAGGCAGATCAATATGCTGGCTCTGCTGTTTTCCTGTCCTCTCTGTCCCACCACGCCCGAGCGAGAGGCTCTTTCTCTCTCTTTGGCGCAGCTATCGCGCCAGTTGAACATTGACATTGACACAGACGAGGTATATGAAGAGATCTCGCATACAATGTATTTTTTCGGCCCACGATTGGGGGGTCTCGGGACCCCGTTACCATTTTCGAGTCACACCCTGTCGTACCGATTCAGGCAAGTTTTGCACTGCAGCACTATTAGTGATGAACTTTAAAATTAAAAAATATAGACAGTATTGCCACATCTGCTTCGAGAATTATTATTTATTGAATTGAACGTGGCGGTACATTCCTTCATCAGTGAAGGAATATAACAATTTAAAACAACGACTGGGATGAAAATTGGGATCAAAAATTTACATTTATTTAAATTATATATCTATGTATATTATTTATATTTATTTAAAAGATTATTTATATTTATTATTATATTATTTATATTTATTAAAAATAGAAGATTTATATTTATTATAAATAAAAATTATTTGTAATATTATTTAATTTTAGAAAATTAGAAAAAATTGATTAGAATATGATACTTTTATGAATAAACTAGTGAAATTGCAGAATTGTTGATACGTCTCCGAATCCTCCCGAGGTCAACCAAAATTATCCGATTCGATCCGAAGTAATGATCACACGCATTCGAATCACTTAAACAAATTTTTATTTAAGTAATGAATAATAAACAATAATTAAAAGTATTTTCATTTTCTCATATCTTTCATATTGAATATGAGAAAACCAAATGAAAAAGTCACACAAATAATATCGTCGCTTTTCATAAATATAATTTGTTGAATGTCAATTCTTTTTTCAACAAATCTTCATGATAGAGATAATATTGCATTTAAGAACAGTGATAAAGGTACGATAATAAATGTTAAAGCCTACGGTATACGTACTGTTAATGACATGAATTGACGTGCTTCAGAGTGAACTTGTCAAATTAGAGATTTTCATACATCTTATATATAGACAATTTAAAGATTTACAATCAGATCGCCCATAAATTTTAATTTTGAGTGTGAGGAATTCTTTCAGCAGTTGCCATGTCGTTAATCAAATGCGTATTATTCATCGTTCATTA